CCTCCTCGCCGTCAACCAGAATCGGTGGGGGGGTCTGCAGCTTGGCTCCCTCCTCCGACTCTCCTCCCGGACCACCAGCGGGTTTCAGAAGTGATACATGGAAAGTGGGAGATTTACGATAGTTAGCGGGCAGCTCTAAACGGAACGATACTGGAGTTATTTGTCTTAAAATCTTGAATGGACCAATATACCTGGGACTGAGCTTTTTATATGGGAGCCTGAGGCGCAGATCCTTAGTTGACAGCCAAACCCATTGGCCTGGAGCGTATTCGGGACTGGGGCGTCGGTGTCGGTTGGCCTGTTGTTCTGTTCTCCTCACAGCATGTAGCAGGTGAGTATGGGCTCGGTCCCAGACCTCCTCACTACGTTGTAACCAGTCGGTGACTGAAGGGAGGTCGGTGGGCTCGCCAGCCCAGGGGAACAAGGGCGGTTGGAAGCCCAGCATGCACTTAAAGGGAGTCACCCCTGTGGCGGGTTTCATGAGGGAAATCTGCGCATATTCCGCCCCAAAACAAGTACCTGCTCCAGTCGGATTGTCGTTGCTGGCAATATGATCGAAGGAACCGGATGATCTCCTGATTCAGGCGCTCTGTCTGTCCGTTGGATTGAGGATGGTAGCCGGATGTGAGGCTGATGTTTTCATTGAGGTGTTTGAAGAAGGCAGTCCATACCCTTGAGGTGAACTGGGGACCCCGGTCTGAGACAATGTCCTCAGGCAGACCATAGTAATGAAACACATGATTGCACAGTAATTCAGCAGTTTCAAATGACGTGAGGAGTTTAGGCAGGGGAATTAGATGGCATGCTTTGGAAAATCGGTCTATAATCGTAAGTATAGTGGTATTACCTTGAGAGTTGGGTAGGTCGGTGATGAAGTCGATAGCGATGTGAGACCAAGGCCGTTGTGGCGTGGGCAATGGTTGTAACAGGCCTGCTGGTAGTTGTCTGGGTGATTTAGTAGTGTTGCAGGTAATGCAGTTTCAGACGTATTTGGTGGTATCAGATAACAGAGTGGGCCACCAGAATCGGTTTTGGAGCAGATGTGCAGTGGCAGCGATTCCAGGGTGTCCCGAGCTGGGTAGATCATGTACTTGTGTCAATAGACGCTCTCGTAGTGATTCAGAAACATAGGTGAGATTGGGGGAGCTTTCAGGCGGTGGCGGATTCTGGAGATTCAAGTTGTTTGCTTCGGTCATGATGTCCCACTGTATGGGTGCGATGAGAAGGTTCTCAGGAATTATACTTTCATTGACGTTTGAGCAGCATGTCTCCGTTTGACGAGAGAGAGCGTCGGCCTTGATATTCTTGGTGCTGGGTCTGTATGATACAGTAAACTGAAATCTAGTGAAGAATAAAGAAGAGCGTAGGTATTCGAGGTTCTTGTGATCGATGAGGACTACAAATTGGTATGAGACTCCCTCCAGCCAGTGGCGCCATTCCTCTAGTGCTAATTTCATGGCCAGAAGTTCACGGTTGCCCACATCGTAATTTCGTTCGGCGGTGGTTAGTTTGTGTGAGAAGAAGGCGCAAGGGTACATCTTTGCTGGGGATCCGTGACATTGGGAAAGTATCGCACCTACCCCAGTGTTAGAGGCGTCGACCTCGACAACGAATGGGCGTTCTGGATCAGGATGTCGGAGGATAGGTGCTGAAGTAAACCGAGTCCTTAGTTAATCGAATGCCTGTTGTGATTCCGAAGACCAGGTCAATTTAGTGGGGTGACGTTTATATCGCTTAGTCATGGCGGTCAAAGGAGCGGCGATCAAACTGAAGTTCCTGATAAATCGCCTGTAGAAGTTTGCGAACCCCAGGAAGCATTGTAAATCCTTGACTGTCTGGGGAAGCGGCCATTCCAGTATTGCCCTGACCTTCCTCTCATCCATCGCTACCCCCTCCTGGCTGATCACATACTCCAGAAAAGTTGTGCTTCTTTGATGGAACTCGTATTTCTCCACTTTAGCGTAGAGTTGATACTGAACGAGGCGCTCTAGTACAGATTTGACATGACGAATGTGTTGTTCCAGGGAATTTGAATAGATGTATACGATCACCCATCTGTTGAGCATGTCCCAAAACGTCATTCATGAAGGATTGGAAGATCGAGGGACTGTTTGCCAGGCCGAAGGGCATGACCCGGTATTCGTAGTGCCCACTAGTGGTGGAGAATGCCGTTTTCCATTCGTCCCCCTCTCGAATGCGGATTAAGTTGTAAGCATTGCGTAGATCCAACTTGGTGTAGTATTTGGCCTGGCGGAGCTGTTCTAGCGCTGCGGGGACCAGTGGTAGAGGATAACGAAAATTAACAGTAATATCATTAAGGCCATGGTAATCAATGCAGGGCCACAACCCTCCGTCCTTTTTCTTTACAAAGAAGAACCCCGCCGAGGCAGGAGAAGTTGAGGGTTGAATAAATCCTTTGACCAGTTCCTCCTCGATATAGACTTTCATAGCCTCTCATTCAGGTTGTGATAGTGGAAAGATCCTCTCCTTTGGAGGGGTGGCGCCAGGGATCAGATCTATGGTGCAATCGACGGATCGGTGAGTTGGGAGTTGTAAAGCTTTCTTTTTACTGAAGGCTTCGGCTAGATCGGCATATTCGGAGGGCAGGTTTAATTCATCAGTGGTTTGAACAGATGGAACCAAATCCTGGAGGGGTGACCATGTGATCCTTGACAAACAGGGGTCTTGACAGGTAGCATCCCATTGAACGATTTGTCCCTCTCTCCAGGAAATGCGTGGGTTGTGGGTGCGCAGCCAGGGTAGTCCAAGAATGATCGCATGATTGTGAGACTGGATGACGTAGAATTTGATATATTCAGAATGAAGGGTTCCTATTTGTAGTTTGACTTCCTCTGTGATACGTAACACTTTCCCCTCTCCGAGGGGTCGGCTGTCTAGTGCCTCCACTGCCAAAGGGAAATTACAAGGGGTAATTGTTGTGAGGTTATGTTGCAGGGCGAATTCATGTGAAACAAAGTTTCCAGCCGACCCGGAATCTAACAGGGCGGTAGAGGTAATCGTTTTATCATTGACAGTTATTTCAAACGGCAACATTATGCTTGAGGGGCAAGTAGTGATACTACTGTTGACACTCACCGATCGGGGTTTGGATGATGGACGGACCGGGCAGGAGGATATAATGTGCCAAGCCTGACCACGGTAGAGGCACAGTTGGTTCTGCATTCGGTGCTCGCGTTCTTTGGGAGTGAGGTGAGTGAAGCCCAGCTGCATGGGCTCTGTTATGGCATTGGTCTCTGGTGTGAATCGAGGCATGAACCGGGTAGGACGTTGTGAGTGGATCAAATTGTCAATTTGAATGGCGAGTTCAATGAATTCGCTCAAATTTTTCCCCTCATCTCGGCAAGCCAACTCTGACTGGATCTCCGAATTCAGTCCCCTCCGAAACAGGAGTTTTAATGTGTCCTCGATCCAACCTTTCTGGCCGGCAAGGGTGCGAAAGGACAGGGCGTACTCGGCTGCCAGTCTCCTTCCTTGCGAAAGTGTTAACTTTCGCGGAAGTGTTGGAGAAATGTTGTGAAGGTGGGAAATGAAGAGCCATCCACTCCCCAAACAGCGGTAGCCCAATCCAGCGCCCTCCCCATGAGCAATGAACACACAAAGGCAATGCGGCTAGAGTCTGTGGGGTACAGCGAGGGGTGTTGATTAACAAAGAGCGAACACTGAAGCAAGAACTTTCTTAGATACAGTGAAGACAGCGCGTTAGTTTAGAACTCTTCTAAATGTTTTGTTTTAATTTGTGCAATGATAACCTACCAGCAATGCAAATGATTTTTTTTATATATTAGAATGAGTATTATTTTGTTCCATGATATGGATTTTGCTATACCGTGGATACTAGGGCTGTGTATCACCAGCAAAGTCACAATGCGATGCATATCACGATACAGAGGCCACTATACGATACGTATCACGATACAGGACTGCACTGAATTTCACCTCGGCAGAATTTAGTAAAAGAGTAGTTTATTAAACACTGCTTACTATAGTACCATTTCTAACTATAGGCAGAGCAGCAGCTGAGCTCTGCATTATGAAGGGCCTCCAGAACTGTACCACAGTACAATATAGGTAATGGCATATGTTTCATGTTTACATTGAGCAGTCCCCACCAGGTACAATATTCTGATTGTTTGCATCTTGTTTTTAAGCCCATAAATAATAATGTACTCGTTCTAATAAATGTATATTGTAATGTACTAATACTAATATATTTAAAAAATCATTTACATTGCTGGTAGGTTATCATTGCACAAATTAACACACTCTCTACGATTAAAAAATAATAATAATAGAAGAGATCTAAACTAACGCGCTGTCTTCACTGTATCTAACGAGATCCTCAGTCTATCAGGATTGGAAACAGGACCTCAGCCAGCACCATAATGAACATTGGCACTCCACAGGGATGTGTTCTCAGCTCTATACTGTACACACTCTTCACACACGACTGTGTCACCTCCAGCAAGAACAATACCATCCTGAAGTTCGTAGACGACACCGCAGTGATAGGACGCATCACTAATGGGACGGAACGGCCTACAGGAGGGAGCTAGCCAGTCTGGTGACATGGTGCGAAAACAACAACCTCACACTCAACACGGACAAGACGAAGGCGATGATAGTGGACATGAGGAAGGAGAGGGGAACTCATCGGCCACTGTTTATCTGGGACCTTGAAGTGGAGAGGGTGAGCAGCTTTAAATATCTGGGCATCCACATCAGCGAGGACCTCACCTGGACACTTAACATCACCCAGCTGATCAAGAAGGCCCAACAGAGTTACAGGTGTTTTTCAGCTGCAGCGCCCCCTATAGCCGTCATCCGTGTGAATCAGGATTCATTAGGTTTGGTTCAACAGATACAGATCAACACATCCCTTACCGTTCAATATCTCCTAAACTCTTGTCAGTCAAAACTCAGGACAAAAAGTTGCTAAGGTTATTTTTATTTCCAAGCTTGAGATCTCTATGATGCTCAGACATAGAAAAAGAATAAGGCAGAAAAATAATAATATACAAAACTGCACAAATACATTACAGTAGCAGCTCTAAAATACACTTGGATATAAATGATTTACGTAACACTACACTAAATATAAATCAATGGGATCGCCATCAACACAAACAGAGCTTGAGAAAAGCACAGATACACACCGTCACACGCTCTGATCTAACTGTACATGTGAGGATTCATTACACACATTTATTCTGATATTTCAGTGACAGAGGTTCAGCTGCAGTATTAATGTCATGAAGAGAAGAGAAGAGAGATACTCTATAACATCTCACTGTTACTGATTTATCATGCAGATCAAAACGTTATGGGTAGAATCTCTCGTCAGTCTCTTCTGATTCATCAACACAGTTTCATTGATGATTTATAACCATAAACAGCGAACCCAGGATAGAGCGGCTGAGTGAATGTGGTCTGGACTGTGTGGATGAGGCTCATTGTGTCAGAGACGCTGTAGAAGCACAGAGTTCCTGCACTGTGATCCACAAACACTCCTATTCTACGACAGCTGTGGGACTTTACAGGGAGATCCGTCTCTGTGTTATTGTGTCTGAATGAGTATTTGTCAGGACAGCAGAACAAACTCCAGGACTGATCATTAGATCCAAACTCACACTCATCACCTCGTCCCTTCCTGCTGATGCTCTTATATGACACTGATATACACACATAATCTCCACTCCTCTCAATCTCCCAGTAACCGCGTCCACACACACTCTCTCTGCACAACACCTGACGCCAATGATCAAATCTGTCTGGATGATCAGGATACGACTGAAGCTCTGTGGTTGCACCAGTAATCACTCTGTTGTTCTCGGACAGATGGAGGTATTCGTTCACTGTGTTCAGATCCAAAGTGAGCTGATGGGAATCTGATGGAGAGAAAACACACAAGAATCAGGAATTATGAATCTGATCTGTTAATGTAGCTGAACTCGTCATGTTCAATATATCAGCAGTGTCTCAGTACAGTTTACCAGATACACTGTGCAATTCATAATTTACATGATCAATTATGAAACTCTTCTGTAATGTTCCTACTTCCTTCTACATGACGAACATGATGTTTCTCAGCTTGTTTTCTTACATTGTAGGAAGTAGTTCCTGGTCCTGGGATCAGTGTTGGGGAAAGTGACTGTGGAAATCAACAGACATTAACAGTGTGATTGTCATGTTGAGAGAAAATGATAAAAAATATTATAAAAGATGAAGCACTTCGCTCAAGCTATTGTCTGTGGCTCGACAACAAAAAAAACATTAGCCTTTCTAAATATAGTGTTTCTTGAGTAAATAAATCACTGTACTTAACAGTTCTTCATTTTCCTCGAGGCAGCAAGCAAGCTGAGCTGGTCAGAACGGGAGGAGTAACGAGGTCTGACTGAGAGTTTGAGGAGCCAGTGGAGCTACGAGGAGAAATGCTGGTAGCGTCACTTACTGATCCAGGAGCAGAGATACTTATATTTCCAATCTGAGCTTGAGCTTCAGAAATGCTTCGGAAAATGTAGCTTTTCTTGATGCTATGGCACTAATTGATCAGCAATTCTGTATCTGAACAGCTATTTGATAGAGAAAACAGCAATGCTACTGAGAAATGTAGTTAAACTAGTAGCGCTACTGCCCATCACTGGCTGCTTGCCCTGAAATCCCGTTTGCACAGTATCTCATGTACAGTGTTTGTGTAAAGTATTTCTACAGATTCTGTGTATATATCATCAGATTGTTTCACGACGTTTCACATATAGAGGAATGGGGGTTAGACTTGAATATTTACCCTCAGTTGGTTTTGATTCGGCTATAACAGGAGCAGGATCCTCACTTCTGTCCTCAGCCTGACCTGTGTGAGAGAAAGAGATCAGAATGAAAATACAGAACCACAAATGATTTCTTCTGTAAACCATCACACTGTAAACATGTCTCTGCTTTAGAAAAACAGTCCAACTGGGCCTTTGTCATGTTTCTATTTCTAAAAATCTGTTTTTTAGTTTCACGTTTATTTTATTTTCACAGCACATTTACTAACTTCTTGTTCATTTCAACCTGTTACCTTGCTTGTGTTTGTTCTCCAGCTCAACAGCCAGATTGCTCTGGTTTATCTTCTTCAGGATCTTCACTGTGATCCTCAAAGCTTCTTCTGGCCCAAAACACTCCACCATCTTATCCACCGTTTTTAATCGATCTGCTTTTTCCATTTCAGACTCTGATATAGATTCATGATCATTCTTTAAGTGCCACTGAAACTCCTTCAATTCAGTTTCTCTCAGGTCCTTCAGTGAGTTCAGAAGCAGCACTTTATCAGACGCCATCGTTCTTCACTGATTCACAGCTGCAGGACAAGAAGAAACACATCTGAGGTAGTTTCACTCGTAACATGTTTGTGTGTGTGTGTGTGTGTGTGTGTGTGTGTACAGAGCAGGCAAGGAGTCACTGAGCAGGTTTGAGCAGATCGCAGGCTCACTGATGAGTGCTCAGGGAACGACGAGGTGTGTAATCGCCGTGAATTAATCGGATACCGTCGTATCAGCTGTGCCAACACACTTAGACTGGAGTAGGCTTGTGTGTAACTTGTACAAAACATCATGTCTCCTCTCCCAAACTCACTGGAGCACATCCAAAAAGCAGCAGGCTACGCATGGCATACGTCATACGTCACTCGTCACCTCACGTGTCATCACGTTCGTTTATACAGACGGGTCCAAAGATGATGAAGGCAGGGTAGGCATAGGAACATATGTACCAACATTGAGTGTAAATATTGGGGGAACAATATTCAATCCTATCAGTATACACGGCAGAGATGATGGCGATTATGTTGTGTTGACAAAATCAACGAGGAAGAGTGATATTACAAATATTCCCTTTGGTAAAGGAAAGGTTAAGGCAATGAGAAGAAAGAAATGAAAAAGAAATGGCAGGTCAGGTGGGACATGGATAATAGTGGAAGAAAATACAACAGTATAGAGAAATCTATTAATGCACAGGGTGTGAATGGAAGGAACAGAAGGGAGGAAGTAGTTTTAACTAGGTTGAGGTTTGACCACACAGGGTTAAATAAAACATGATATATGCTAGGTATGGAATGTAAGATCACAGAAAACACAGAACATATACTGTTATACTGTATAGAATCTAAGGAAGAGAGGAATAGTCTAAGACAAAAGATGAATCAGGCTGGAAGAAAATGGAACCTCGAGGGTATATTGGGAACAGCAGGAGAAGGGGTCAAGGATGCACAGAAAGCGGTTGTGGAATATCTCAAAGATATAGGGACATAGTATAGGATTTAGTTTTATTGCATTTATTTAGTATGGCTATGGATGCGTATATATATAGAGAGAGAGAGAGAGAGAGAGAGAGAGAGAGTGTATGTATACAGATACATATCGGTGGTGTTTTATATATATATATATATATATTGAGCGAGGCACAAAGGAACAATTTTTGACTTTCTCAGTTTGTGTAAATCCACATGGGTTACATAATAAACATTTTTTATCCTCAGTAATTTCACACTTGTCTAGTACAAATATGTTGCTTTGTCTCATAATTACAGTGCATACATTTTTCTTTATTTGCCCTCAAAAAATGGAAGTGAATTTTTGTGACCCAAACTCTATGCAGGGTGGTCACACACAGAGAATACGCAACTTCTTCAAGGCCGAGTTGTTGAAAACCAAGGTATAACCAGGAACTTTCCCAAAACATCCAGATATGAAGTACTTTTTTCTGAGCTAGAGGTTTCACACAACATTCTTCCTTATTTTCTTATGTTAAAAGATGAAAAATAAAGTAAATGCTTTAATTGCAAATTGGTCATGTTGATGAGAGGCCCTAATGACCTTTGTGAAGAAGTCAGAAAAGTAACGGTGTGTTTTAACGTGTTCCATTGAGAAGACATGTCCTGCTATACTACTCAGCTTTTGTTGAACATTTCATGTCACCTCTGAAGGAACTGTAATAATGCCTGTAGAAAAAGCTGGAAATGATCAGTGTTATAATGTACTTTATCAGACTTCAAAACATTAACATTTAGTCGTTTAGCAGATGCTTTTATCCAAAGCGACTTACAAACGAGGACAACAGAAGCAATCAAAACCAATAAAAGAGCAATAATAAGCAAGTAAGTAAGTCATGTTTATTTCTAGAGCACCTTTCAAGAGCAAGCGGCACAAAGTGCTTTACATCAAAATTGTAAAAAAAGATTCAAAATAGACATGACAATTAAAAGACCAGATTAGACGAAAGTGCTGTGAGCAGTCTCGGTTAGCCTAACGCAGTACACATAGCCAGGGGGGTTTTGTTTTGTTTTGTTTTTATAATAAAGAAAAAGAAAACGAGTAGATAGAATAGACACAAACTTTACATAATGAAAAAAGTGAGCAAAGCTCAAAATCTTGTATTTGCTTAGGATCTAAAATCTAAAATCTTCAAAGCTCTATTGTAAAGACATTTAGCCTGATTAATTATGGATTGATTTGTCTGAGACCAAATAGCTAATCCATATGCCATGTGTGATAATATCATCGAATTTAAAAACAAAAAAGCAGAAATCTTCTCTCTGCTTACAGTGCATCAATCCTGTTTGTCGACACACACACACACGAAAGAGTGATCATTTGGCAAAACAAAAAAATACTTTGTACAGTTAAGAAAATGTAAAAATATTTAAAAAAGTTTAAAAACGGTGCAAAATATTTTGCACATAAATTCCCTTCCCTCTGTGTTAGTTGATAAGCGACCTACTTTAGAAGCAGAGTCTTCTGAGCGCCACCTAGTCTCGTCAAACTTTACTTCTATTCTTTACTTCTATTTCTTTATTTTATTTTATTTTCTGTTGAGAGTTTCGTGTTTTGAGTTAAGTTTGCCTAACGCCGCATCTCCGAAAAAGTGCTGTCTAAAACTTCAACTGCAGACCACAGC